GGGGGGGGGGGGGGGGGGGGGGTGCTGCCTGGTACCTTAAGGTTTCAGCACCAATAGGGCATGTCTACAAAATGTTAAAATTTGACAATTGGAACCTAATTCTCATCCATTATCGGAGGAATGAACTGGTAAGGAGTGCAATTAGGCAATTACACAATCAACGTTACTCTTTGCAAGTTAAGAGCGGCGCATATTAACATTAAAGTTTAAGGCAGTTGATTTATGTTATGTCGTGGAACTTATGCATCATGTGTTTGTTTGCGATGTAAAATTTTTGTATAATAATATAATATCAATTTCAATTAATTACCAGTACATTCCTGTTGGCACCTCTGTCTAGTAACTCTCTTATAATATCACAGTGTCCCTCGTGACAAGCTAAATGAAGGGCTGTATGACCACCCTCTATTTCATCGATCTGCCGAGTTAAAGAAAAAGGAAAAAGCAACAATATGCTTTTGGGATCCTATTCTATGCTGCTATTAAAAACAATTAATTATGACACAAAGCATGAACAGTATGTTTCACAGTGAAGATCGAGGCTGGCACTAACTTTGAACGCTTGTTGCTTATCTCTCCTCTTTCTGATCAATCAATACGGACAGTTAAAAATCATCCAAAGGTTCTTATATTCCATGCGACCTTCAACTGTAAATCCATTACCGACCAGTGACGTTATTTAAAACCACGTGAAGCCTCATAGAGATGATAAGAGAATAGTTACTAAACAAATGAAAAATGTAGCACATACATCGACGTCCTATATTGAACACAAAACGGTGTTACTAAACCATTTAACAAATATACCACTTCTGGTTGATCATCAAGGATCTCTTTGACTCTTGATAGTTGGTTTGTTTTAGCAGCGTTCACGAGATTTGAATTTCCTTGTTCACTGGCGTGTCGCAGAAGAAAATCTCTGAAAAGACTGAAAAATCCTGTTGAAAAAAAAAAGCATCAATAGCAGGATATGGTTAACTTATGAAAAGAAACGCTACGTTATGTTTTGAAATGCAGTTTTCTCACCCAATGGATCTTCGTTGCTTTCATCACTACTGCTCTGACTGGGTTCTGGTTCAGTGACGTATGTCACAGCAGCTGGATTGAGCATCCATTTGTCACCTTCCACTAACGTTAGGATATCACCGTTACCATCAACCTCAAGTACCTTACCGGTACGACCAAGGATCTGCATATGGGAGATCTAAATAGCTCAAAAATGCATTTGAATGGAAAGAAGGTGAATTGCCATTTCGGTTATTCATGTTTACATCAAAAGCTAATCACTACTGTTTTACACTAGTAGCTAATAGTGCTTTAGAGGGCCACTGGTTTGTTAGTATTTTTATACTATTTTAGTGCTACCCTCTTTAAATAAAGTCTTTACTTACTTACTTACTTACTTACTTACTTAC